GCAGAACCCGCGTCGTTTGAGACGCTAGTGCCAGAGCACTACCAAGACTTCCGGGACGTGTTCTCGAAGGAAGCCTTCGACCAGCTTCCCCCCCGGAAGCCCTGGGACCACGCCATAGACCTGGCACCAGACGCCAAGCTGCCCAGGGGAAAGACCTTCCCCCTCTCGCGGCCGGAACAGAAAGAGCTGGACGAGTTCCTGCGCGAGAACTTGCAGAACGGGCGCATACGACCGTCCAAGTCCCCAATGGGGGCACCAGTCTTCTTTGTCAAAAAGAAAGATGGGTCACTACGCCTAGTACAGGACTACCGGAAGCTGAACGAGATTACCGTAAAGAACTCGTACCCACTCCCGCTGATCTCAGACGTCCTCGCCCGCCTCCGGAGCGCTAAGTACTTCTCCGCCCTGGACCTACGCTGGGGGTTCAACAACGTCCGGATCAAGGATGGGGACGAGTGGAAGGCAGCGTTCGCAACCAATCGAGGGTTGTTCGAGCCCATGGTAATGTTCTTCGGGCTGTGTAACTCCCCCGCGACCTTCCAAACGATGATGAACGATATCCTCAGGGACTTCATCGACCGGGAAGTCGTCATTTGCTACATGGACGATATCCTCATCTTCACGGCTACCCTAGAGGAGCACCGGAAGGTTGTCCGGGAGGTCCTGGAAACGCTATGGAAGAGGAGGCTATTCCTGAAGCCGGAGAAGTGCAAATTCGAGCGGACCCGGATCGAGTACCTCGGCCTCGTCATCTCGGAGGGTAGCGTTGCGATGGACCCCGTAAAGGTCCGTGGAGTCCTTGACTGGCCCACCCCAACCAAGGTGAAGGAGGTGCAGTCCTTCCTGGGGTTCGTAAATTTCTACCGCCGGTTCATCAAGGACTTCTCTGAAAAGGCACGCCCGCTCCACAAGCTGACCCGAAAGACCCAGGCTTGGAACTGGGGCACGGACGAAGACAATGCCTTCCACGCCCTTAAGGAAGCTGTCACCACTGCCCCAGTCCTCTCCTTCCCCACTGACTCGGGCCGTTTCAGGCTCGAGTGTGACGCCTCCAACTTCGCAACCGGTGCAGTCCTCTCCCAGCTCCAACCCGATGGGGAGTTCCACCCGGTGGCGTTCATGTCCAAGAGCTTCACGGATGTGGAGCGTAACTATGAGGTGTACGACAAGGAGATGCTCGCGATCGTCCGGGCTCTCGAAGAGTGGCGACACTTCCTAGAAGGTGCAGAGGAGAAAGTCGAGGTCTATACCGACCACCGTAACCTGGGGTACTTCCGGATGGCCCAGAGGCTGAATCGACGCCAGGCTAGGTGGTCCCTTTTCCTCTCTCGCTTCCACTTTACCCTTGTCCACCGTCCCGGGAAGCTCATGGGAAAACCGGACGCACTCTCCCGTCGTGCTGACCACCCGAAAGGGAAGGACGACAACGAAGGGCTAACCCTCCTCCAACCAGCCTGGTTTGAGGCTCGTGCAACAGAGGGAATCTCGGTAGAAGGAGAGGAGGTAGGAATTCTAGAGTGGATACGCAAAGCAAAGGACCACGACGAGAAGGTGGTAAAGGCAATGCGAGAGCTGGGAGAAGGGACGCTAAGGTCGGACGAATGGGAAAGGCAGGGTGAACTAGTTCTGTACCGGGGGAGGGTGTACGTCCCTAAAGACCCCCAACTCCGCCATGATCTTGTGCGGCTACACCACGATGCACGGGCGACGGGACACCCAGGGCGATGGAAAACCCTGGAACTTGTCTCCCGCAACTACTGGTGGCCCCGAATGGCAGAGTATGTCGGGCGGTACGTACGCAGGTGCGACACCTGCAACCGCGTCAAATCTTTCCCCTCACGAAAAGTTGGGAAGCTCACCCCAAACAAGGTCCCCACCCGCCGCTGGCAAGTGATCTCAGTAGATATGGTGGGAGAGCTCCCAGAGTCCAAAGGCTATAATGCCATCTTGGTGGTAGTAGACCGCCTGTCCAAGCATATCCACGCGGTCCCCACCGTGACGACCGTAGACTCGGAGGGTATCGCACGGCTCTTTCTAGAGCACGTCTGGAGGCACCACGGGCTCCCAGAGGAGATCCTCAGCGACAGAGGGAGCGCCTTCGTCTCCCGCTTCTCGAAAGAGCTCGTGGACCTTCTAGGCGTCAAACTGACCCCTTCGACGCCCTACCACCCCCAGACGGACGGACAGACCGAGCGGGTCAACCAAGAGATCGAAGCTTATCTCCGGGTGTTCGTCAACCACCGACAAGACGACTGGGCCGATTGGCTTCCGCTGGCGGAATTCTCCTACAACAACCGCATCCACTCATCCACCCACCGAACCCCTTTCGAACTCGACACCGGCCAACACCCCAGGATGGGGACAGAGCCCACACGCACGTCCGAGGTGGAAGCTGCTGACGCGTTCTCATTGAGAATGATGAAAATGCAAGAGGAGGCGAAGGCTGCACTGGAACACGCAGCGGACGAGATGGCCCGTTACTACGACCGAGACCGCGAAACAGCCCCAAAGTACCAAGAAGGCGACCGAGTCTGGCTCAGCGCGCAAAACTACACGACTGACCGCCCAACCAAAAAGTTGGACCACAAATGGCTCGGCCCCTTCAAAATCGTCAAAGTCGTCTCCCCTGCTGCCGTCAAACTCCAACTTACCGCACGCCAGAAAGGAATCCACCCGGTTGTATCCGTAACGAACGTCAGACCACACCGCCTGGATGATATCCCAGAACGACCCACTGACCCCCGCCCAGGTCCGGAACTTGTAGACGGAGAAGAAGAGTACGAGGTGGAGAAGGTATTGGACTCTAAGTGGCTACGCCGGAAACTCTGGTATCTGGTAAAGTTCGTTGGTTGGCCAAGCTCAGAGAACTAATGGCTCCAACAGGACCACTTAGCCCATGCCCCCGACCGGATCGAGGAATTCCACAGGACGCACCCCCAAGCCCCAGGGAGAGAAAGAGAGAACCATCTGGCCGCTTCAAGGCGAAGCGGCTTAAGGAGGGGGTGATGTCAGGGCACACCCACCTGACCCGGTTCCACCCGGGCCCACCTGGGCCCACCTCACCCGCTCACCCGCTCACCCGCTCACCCGCTCCCCGCTACCCATCCTTCCTCCCTCTTCCCCTTTCCTCCCTCTTCCCTCTTTTCTCTTCCTCCTTTATTTCACTCTCCCTTTCTGTTTATTCTTTCTATTTACATGGACCACCTTCCCTTGTATCATTGTACTGCTGACCCGTCCGGCTCGGACACCCCGGGCGACCTCCCGCTACGCCCAGCATGCGCGGACGCCCTCGGGATCCCCCGCGGGGATACCCGGATGGCTGCGGCCCTCTCCGCAGATGACGTGGCACCTGTCACGTGACCCAAGCCGCATGTACATAAATGAACCTGAAGCGGGAACTGAAGAAGTAACCTTCTTCTCACGTTTTCCACTTCAGGTAAGTAGTGTAGTTCTTCCTTTTAATAACAATTCACGTTTTCCACTTCAGTCTAAGTGGCCAGGGACTATAGTCCCAGATCGGGCCCGTCAGTACGCGCGCCCGCTTCGTCCCCCGAGAGGGTCCCTCTGCCGGGCGCTACAGCCGGGCCCCCTCCACCCCGGACGCGTCCCTGACAGTGGCCTGGAAACGTCGCCACTGGTTGTCGAGGAGGGTGGCCTCGCGTTTCCATTCAGCCCAGGTGGTGGGCATAGGGCGGAGACGGTAAATGCTCTCGCGGAGCTGGGCGTTGATCGCTTGCTCGAAGCGGTCGACCAGCCCTACGTCACCCAGTCTTGAGGCAGGCCCTAATATCTCGAACTCCTGGATGACCTTGTCCACGGAGTCGCTCCCCTGTCGGATGGCCGCCAGCTTCTGCCGGGCGGTGGCTTCCCGATTTGGGTCCTGGAACATGTCGTCGAGTTCCGTGTTGAACTCGTCCATGGTGAGTGCCGGAGACCCTGCGGTCAACAGCGAGATCGTGCGTTGCGTTGCCCATGCTCCTGCCGGCCCTCCCTTCATGTAGGACAACACGAAGAGAATCTGGGAGAGGGCGGTGGGGAACTCGGACGCGCGGACGTGGAAGTAGATTCCACATTCGGCTTTGAAACGGTCCAGGTCCTCACTGGCTCCTGAGAAGGGCGTGGGGGGGGCGACCTTAGGTGGCTTGGGTCTGGGGGCGGGTGTGGGAGCGGGTGTGGGGATAGGCGCGGGTGCAGGTGCGGGAGCAGGTGGGGGATGGTTAAGGACTTGGTTCTCCACAATAGCCTGCAGTTCCTGGAACCGGGCTAGGAGGTCGTCGTACTGTTCTTCCGTCACCATGGCAGGAGAGGCAGGGGAGGTGGGGGAGATGAAGTTGAAGCCTTCTTCTGCTGTCAGGGACTCGTCCGGGGTCGAGGGGGTCCGGGTATAGCGTCTGGGACCGAGAGCCTGGCAGGGGGCGGATCGGGCGTGCGTACTGACAGGCCCGATGTGGGACAGTGGTCCCTGGCCACTTAGACTGAAGTGGAAGGTTGTTATTATCATTAAAGGAGAGATATTGTACTGCTTACCTGAAGTGGAAGGTTGAGAAGAAGGCTACTTCTTCGGTTCCCACTTCAGGTTCGTTTATATACATGCGGCTTGGATCACATGACGGGTGCCACGTCACCCTCGCACACAGCCGTAACCACCCGGGTGTCTCCGTGGGAGATCCCGAGGGTATCCGGTGCAGGCGCGCGTGCTGGGCACAGCGGGAGGTTGCCCGAGGTGCCCGGGCCGGGTACATGGTGGGCGCGCTGCAGATGGGTCAATTGTACAATGATACAGAGAAAGTCGTCCATGTGGAATAAAGGGAGAATAAAGAAGGAGTAAGATAAGGAGAAACTGAGGAGGGGAGGATGAGGGGGGAAGAAGGAAAAGGGGGAGGAGGTGAGGAAGGGTGGACCAGCGGGGTACCGGGTCAGGTTGGGCCGGGTGGAGCCGGGTCAGGCGGGTGTGCCCTGACACTTCGGACCTGTCCGTCCCATTCCCATCCTCCCCATCCCGCCCACCCTCTCCATCCACCCCATACCGCAGTGAAACGACCTTATCCAGGCCTCACCGACGGACACTTGGGTTCTCTCCGGGTGCGCGGTATGTCGGCGCATTTGACGGGTTTAGCGCTTTCACATGGTCGACCCAATCATACGAGCTCATTGCATGTTATCGTGTGACAGAGTCCTGTTTTTGGATCATCAGTCCCAATGTCCCTCCAACTCACTTACATCTTGTCCCTGATCCTATATTCACTAGAGCCATTCCATTGGCAGAAGACAACACAGCTTATGCACATCCTTCCGAGGATGCAGCTCGCGACTCTGAAGATGAGTCCTGGATCAAGTGTCCGTTTTACGACCTCTCGCCAAGCAGCCCCCAAAGATGGTATTACGAGTTCACTTCCTCTGCAACAGGGAGGAACCCGCTCATCGAGTCCTGGTCAGTGATGCTCGGTGGCAGGGAAATGCTTAGCCTTCCAGGGGGATATGATCCAGTTACTTCCTTGCTCGCGTGGTACGGTCATCGAGTGCCAGACTGTCGTCAGGAGCTATACCGCCCTCAGTCCAGCAGGGATGGAACTCGATTTCTGGTCCAGGGCAAGTCAAAGGCCCCAATGGTCATCGATATAAGCCAAATTGTTTAGCATTTACCAGTGCACCCGATTGCGCTCAAGTACTCGTCACTTCCTCGGCTATACACTCGATGACTTTTGCACTGCAACGCTGTGTAAAATTGTGGATAGTATTTGAAGCCTTGTGTATCATGTACTATTTCTTTATTTAACGTTAGGTTTGGTAATGTACACTTGGTGGCGACGGATCTCTGGCGTTCCGCAGAGCACAGGAAGACGAAGCGCCAAAACTACTGGAAAGGCCTAGGAGACTAAGCTAGACCGAATAAGATAATGCAGTCTTTCGAATAAATATTCAAAGCAGTATTGTCGAATGGAATGGACCGCATTTCCGGCATTAGACTTCAACCACGAACAGCGGGTTAGATGGACATTCTATTTAAAGATCGTCCTCTTTGACATAAATCGAAAAATTGGTTAGCAGTTCAAACGGACTTCAGAAATTGAAGCCTTTGAGAGAGTAATTTAGTGTGGTTACTGGGCCGCTTTCCTCAGACGCTCTGATAGACGGGAAGAGTAAGGTGCCGGTATGAAGGTGGTTGGTCGCCAGGTTGATAGCACTGTCCCACACAGAATTGGTGAACAAAGGACACGAGATAAAACAAAGGCCCTGGATGACACTTTTATAATCATTTGCCTTAGAGAACTCTGCGAGGCGCACCGCGGTATCGCGAGATCTGGGGATCCGATTGTCATTGGACAGCCTTTTCGTGCGGGTTTGCCGAAGTATCCAATGTGAGCACTTCGAAGCAGGATGGTGATTTTCTTTTAAAAAAAAAAAGGGGGGGGGGGATATTCACGCACTAGTTGTGCTCCCTTGGGAAGGCCGCTAACGACGGCGATGAGACATCAATGGGAGAGTCCTTGTCATAATGAAACGTCATTGCAAATCGAAGTCGCCTCTGTTTTCGCCCGAGGTAGGGCACTTAGCTTAACAAGAGTTGTGAAAAAGAAAGGGTAGTTAGAGAAATCGGCGTCGAGGACGGCATAGTGAAGTGCTCTAGCACTCCAGTGGGAAGAGGCGCAAAGGCAGATGAAGAAAATGAGAGGGGGGAAGGGATGGATTGTTGGTTGAGCTTCTTGGACTGAAGGGAGTATTGCAGACTCAGAAAGAATCGGCGTCGCATTAAACGAACCGCGATTCAGCCGTTGTGCGACCCCTCGACATTCAGTACACCAATGAGAGGTTCCTTCTTGAAGGTGCCAGCTTAGTGTCGAGCGGTTCCACTAGCGATATTGTTTGTTTGTCATAGAGGCTGTAGTCCTGCCTACCACTAGCGGTCGCTAGACACATTTTGAACCACATACTATGACCGCAGGCTACTTTTGATTTCCGCGCGTTGTGAGCACAAAGCCCGTGCGTGACTAGGCATGCCGCATGGAGACATGTATGGGTTGAACGTTGAAGGAACAGATTCTCTGTGCGCACTCGCACTCGGTGAATCAACAGAAATATGGAATGGAGCATGGCAACGAAGTTGGGTCCGAGTTCTTCAGTTAGAGTAAGCATGATTGTATGGCCGAGTGTTGGCAAAGCCTAGATATTAACAAGCACCGTAAGGACTGGGCCTGAAAGATCGGATGCGATGGTGATTGACACGGGTGTGAAATAAGATAGTAATAGAAATAGAAGCTTAAATAAAGCGAGGATAGAGGAGAGGCAAGAACGCAAACGGAAGCAGAAGCGGAATGCAGGCACAGATCATGTCGACCGGGGAGAGAGGCGAGGACGTGCGAAGTGGTGGATGGTGGGAAAGAAACGATGTAGTACGGGTAGTGAGATGAATGACTTTTAGATGGAAGAAAATATGCATCGAAGGGCTTGACGGTATCACCATCATCGAGGGTCTCATCGCACAGGTCTAGTCGTCCATGGGGGAGGCGTCTGCAGATGAATCAGTGTCCCATTGTCTCCGGCTGAAGGCGGCGCGAGTTGGGTGCCACGTAGTCCTAAATGGCCAGTGCGTCATTGGGAAACGATGCTAATTGCTGCACTGTGGTTTAAAGACGCTAGTATTTACATAACGAAAGAGCTTGGATTCTTCACACTTGAGAGGGAATACACCTGAACCTTAGCGGCGTCGGAGTTGGCCGAACAAATGGGTCTCACGAGGAAATGTTGCTTCTCGATCTACGCAGTCGAGTGCATTGTCCCGCTTGGCTAGACCCAGATTCGTGTCAAGTCATCCCGGCGGCGTTTTCTGGCTCATCACTGTCTTCGAGTGGTTTACCCCGTACATACACACTCTCCATACTTGCCACTTAATGTTGGGGTTAATAATTAAGCCGTAACACTTGCTTGGAAGCTAAGCAGGTGACCAGCCTCTGAAGCTGCAGGTCGAGAGCTCGACAATACTTAGCGCGTATATGCGTCATCCGCAAGGAAGATAATTAGGACCGGTAAGCGATGGTGCATTAATGCCATCTGAACTTGGCCCATGTCTCTGCGCCCGGGGAACATTGCACGTGCGTCTTGAGTTGGCTGACAATGATTGGCATTTTGGTGAATGATTACATAATTCACTGCTTGACGAGCCTCTCTTCAACAGGAAGCAGCAGAGGCTGGAGTCCTGCCTAGGGAGGTGGTGCGGTCAATACCGTCCTACCTGTTACGTCTACTAAGGGTGAACAGCATTAGGCTTACAGCTGCGTGGCCTGCTATAGAACGTTTCCTTCACACCCATTTGTGATCGCAGCTACATCCCACGCACCATGCCCACAGATCGTAAATCCCACCACTTTTTCTCTCGGACGAAGCCACAGCAGGCTCCTGAGACCCCTGATGATCGGCCCCAGGCACCAACCCCCAACATCCAGGTCACTGTTTCTGCGACAGAAAATGACCGACCGATTCGGGTAGATTATAATCAGTCCGCAGGATCACACCCTGGTACACTCTCTGCTAGTGGCACCTCAAAGGATGATGCCGCACAGCAACGAACGCGCCTTCGAGACAGGATATCTGACTTATTCCGGAGAAGCCCCAGCCCCGATTCCAATCGTCGCACCCAATCAAGTACACTCCTGGGCAATAATTTCCTGACTTCGTCCGTCCAGGCATCCCCGGGAGATCCACCGCCATTTCTTTCTCCCCTTCCTGCCAAAGTGAATACTGGAGGGATTCCGACTGCACTCGTTGGTGACGACGACGCGAGCGTCCCCACGCAGCATGAATTCGTAGATCTCAGGCCCTCAGTTCTGGCTGTTTCATCGGTTCCAGCGGAACCGGCATCTCGTAGATCCGATGGCGCTTGGAAGAATATCATTGTCAGCAGCACCAAAGTCTCGCTCCAAACCGCGGCCACTGCTCTCAAGCTCGTTCCCATCCCCAATCTTGATCAGCTTCCAAACACGCTCCTGTCTTGGATTAGAATTTATGAGGTTTGTGGATCGCCTTGATGATCTTGACCGCAGTTGCTTCTTATACCTGGTGCATGCTTGTAGAATGTCAGCGGTAACACTGAGGAACTCAGCCAACTGTGCGTTGTAATTCAACAAGCTCAAGAATCGGTGTTTGAGCCCCTCCGACAGTGGACTGGAGAAATCCCTCGTGAACTTGAATCCCTGGTGCAGAAATTCCGCGAGTACGCATGTTGTTTTCCTCTCGTTCCCGTTCACTCATTCTCCTCGCAGGGCTTTGAAAACACAACTGGAGGACATTGAATCAGTCCAGAATAAACATATCGTCGAGAGGACCATTCGAGCACCCGATATAACACAGCAAATAACGAATATGAAGACCTACTTGAATGACGTTGTTCATCGATTTGAGGTTTGCGTGCTCGAGATTTTTCGAATGGTCAGATCTTGATTCACGATGTTCGCCATAGCTGAGAACATCGACATTAATTCTGCTTCGGACGGAGCGTTTATCGGTTCATTGTACGTGTTTGAGTCCATGCATTTAGACTGCCTAATTTTCTTTGCTTCTAGCCGAGTTGTCGAGACTCAAGCGAGCCCCAGCCGAGCACACTTGTGTAACGAGCAAATCAGAGTGTCTTCCGGAAACGCGAGTCAACATGCAAGAATCCTTACTCAAGCACCTGAAGGAGGCCAAGAATCGATTTGTTTGGTTACGGGGTTCTCCCGGAATGGGGAAGACTGCGATCTCTATGAGCATCGCATCCACTCTTGAGAAAGAGGGCACTTTGGCGGCGTCATACTTTTGGGATAAGAATCGGGCGGGAACAGGCCTAGATTCTATTGAACAGTTCCCCTTTACCCTTGCTCATCAACTGGCGTGTTTCAACGAGGACTTCAAATTCTCGCTTGTCAGACACCTTCGGAAACCGGCTTTGGCCTCAGTCCAGAATTTCCCTCTGAAAAAACAAATGAAGACTTTGATGATTGAGCCGATGCGTGACCTGAAGGATATATTCCCTTCGGGCAAGGATCGCTTTATCATCGTCTTGGATGGTCTTGACGAGTGTGGGAATCAGGAGACACTCGAGTCCTTGATGGAGTTAGTTCTTACCCTTCAGGAACTGCCAACAGGATTTTCTGTGCTAGTTAGTTGTCGTCCTGAGCGAGGAGTCATTTCTGCTTGGTCCGAGGCTCAAGCCGACGGTCTGGTCATACCATGTGAAGACGTGGACAAGATTCAGTGGGAGACTTTCCATACGATCCGTCAAATGGTGAAGGAAGGTCTTCGGGGCTTTGTTAAGGAATCTTCATGGAAACCAACAGAGAGTGAACTCAATGGTTTTGCTTTGGCTTGTCGTGGGTTACCTGTTGTGGCATCTATCCGGGTCCGTGATGTTCATGTGCAGACACGGCGCGGTCGCACCCTCCAGTCGGCATTCCAGAACTTGCTTACTCTCACTCATGTGCCTACCGACCTCGACCAGGAATACTTGCGAATCCTCCGACAAGCCTACGTGCTAGATTCATCTGGGATTCCCTCAGATGTAGCTAAGACGTATCGCTTGGTGGTCGGCACGATTGTTGTGGCGCGCGAGCCGATGAATGTATCTTTTATATCACAGCTATTCGAGATTGACGAGAATGAGATCTATGCGATATTGGAACCGATCAGCTCAATCGTAGATCTTCGTGAGGAGACATTGGGGGTCACCTTCTATGACGCATCGGCAAAAGAATTCTTAATGGGGGAACCAGTTGGTAATGAGGAGGATAAAGTATTCTTCATCGACGACGTGAAAGGGTATTTTCTTGGATTGCCGCTCCTTCGACTCTTCAGTGGCAATTGTGAGCAGAACGTGTTTGGGGTACCGGCTGATCTCCCCTTAGGAAATGAAAGAAAATGGGGAGAATTTATGGCGAAAAAATACCATTTTCAATATCGCTGGCGCTTTCACTATGTCGTTAGGTACTTACTCGAACATTTGGATCCTTCACAACTTTTTTCGCGAGAGTCCAACGAACTGCAAAACGAGTTCGATTCCTTCATTACACGAAATTACTTGTTGACGTGGTTGCACTTGCAAAATGAAAAACTCATCGAGGATAATGCAAGTTTATTTCCGGAAGAATTGCTTCAATTCAATGTAAGTATAAGCTATTCATCTAATGCTTGTCTGATGTCATTTTCTGATAGAATCACAGTTCAGTCCAACTTCTGAGAGAGTTACATTGGTTGGCTTGGATTGCCGCGTCTGAGCCATGGTCTCTCTATCGATCGGAGCTCCCTTTCACCCCACTCTCATCGCCCCTTCACAAACAATATGGCCATCTTTCTGATCCTGTCCGGATCCTCTCCTTCTTTGGCAAGTTCTCTGGTGGCACCATCCCATTAAGCGAGGATTCGCTCAGGGCCCAAGAAGTTATGATGGCAAAGTTGGGGGAACCACGAGAGCAGAGTGATGGATTAGATGAGGAGACCAGTGAACCAGATGAAGATACCAATGGATCAGAGGAGGCAATCAATCACGACGCTGAATTCCAAGAGCCCGATGTTCGTAATGGTATTGTGACGTGTGCCGCACTCTCCCTCGATGGTCGGTATGTTGCGCTCGGATTCGGTAGTGGAATCATCGAGGTTGCCGATATCGACCACCAGCAAACGATCTGCCGATTGCAGCATGATTCGGCCAATCTCCCAGTCTGGATTGAATTTGTCCATGGCAGCCACCGAATTGCTTCCGAGGACATTAATGGGAACGTAACGATCCTTGGCGGTGGTATGGCCCCTGCGAAGCCTGGCACTCTTCCTCCTGGTTCCTATCCTCCTGGAACTGCTGTCTCAGATAATGGGTTATTTATCGCGCGAGCTCCGCGAACCCTTGACAACCCATGGTGTGACAACATGACGCTCATATCTGTTTCAGGGATTCCAACCCTGAAACACCTCGCCCCTCCTCCCTTCTCCCTCTCCTCTTCGTCTAATGATGAGAAGCTAGTCATTCCTCACCGTCGAACGCTCGGTTTTTCTCCAGGAGCACGATACATTTGTACTTTTGATGGGATTCACGCTGTAACCTGGTCAACAGATTCATGCCAGTGCATTTCGGGTTATCGGGTGACAAACTTCGAGCGTTGGATCATTAATCCCACCGTCCCTCCATCTCACCCACATTCCATCCCTGATCCTATATTTACTCGGACCACTCTTCCCTTGCCAGAAAGCGACACAGCTTATGCACATTGTTCTGAGGTGGAAGCAGGGGATGACTCTGGGGACGAGTCCTGGATCAAGCGGCCATTTTATGACTTCTCGCCAAGCAGGTTAAGGTGGAATGAGCTTCGCTATTCGTCTGTCGCAACGAGAATTCCACTCCTCGGTTCCCCCATATCAGGGCGGTGCAGTGTGTGGCTCAATGGTAGGGAAGAACTCGAGCTCCCATGGGATTATCAACCGATTGATTCCCAGCAAGCCTGGTACGGCCATCGAGTGCCACATGATTCTCTGGGGGTCTATCGCCCTCAGTCCAGCAGGGATGGGACTCGATTCCTGGTTCAGGGTTGGAGACGGGCCCCAATTGTCGTCGATATTAGTCAAATTGTTTAGCATTTACCAGCGCCATGTCCGTCACTCCCTTGGCAGTGCGCTGCAACGCCGTTTAGAGTTGTGGGCCATGCTTGAAGTGTACATCATATATCATAACCGATGTTACAGTGCTATTAGACTCGGTGATGAATACGTCACTCGTTATTGGAGACAATGGGCCTCTGGTATCCCTGGAGTGCAGAAAGAGGAAGTGCCAAGCTACCAGTGAGGGGGGTGAATAAATAAGTCTTTCCAGATTCAGTGAAGTATTTTGGGCTTGCACTCAGTTTGTGGGCATAATATGGGCACGCGTGATCATAAGATGGAGAGTCTAGTACTAGACCAGAATGCAGCGCCGAAGCGTGAGTCAAAGGGGATGCCCTCCATCTTTACAACTGTGTCGAGCCACGATATGATTAGCTAGCCAAACCATCTTGAACTTGAAGAGTAGGCGATGTGTTGAGAAAATATCACTGGAAGCGCGTCAGGCCATAATCCATGCTGTTGTTGTACTCTATTTTGTTACCCCGCGGCCTCGTATCTACGTGGCAGTGCGGCCATCCCGACTCGTACTTACATGAGGGGATCATCCATAAATGGTGTGAGTTTCTGGGTGGCATCATCGGGTGAGTGAGATCCTCAGTAGTTGTGTCGTCGGGGGGCGTTGTCAGGGTGGTGTGTGTATGTTACATATATAACAATAAAAATTTAACGGTGGCCTCATCTGCTTGTCACGAACCTCTCGGCGCTAACGAGCGTGGGAACGGAGCGGAGCGAAGCGAGATGTTCCTCTGAGATCAAAAGATTATTCAGCTCTCGACCGCAAAGTCGTTAAACTAGAAAGGTAAAAGCAAAGCGAACAGCTAGTACACGCACGAGAAAGTGAAAAAAAAAAAAAAAAAAAAAGAAGAGAGAAATGAAAAGAGGGGCGGCAATGTCGACCAGGGGGTAAAGCTCAGGCGGCACCAGGGCGGGCGTCGTGCCGACCCCGAGCCCAGGGCCGTCGACAATGAGCGCCCAATTGCCATCTTATAAAACGCCGAGCGCGGCCTAGGCAATTGGGTTTATGGGTAGTTCCGCAAGAACTAGGACAGTTCACGGGAACATCCACACAGCCTACGCGCCGTAGACTAGGTGTCCCACTATAGACTCGCAGAGTCAGGAGGTTCTACCTCCATCTGTCTTCCCCCTGACGAGGGCGCAGCCCGAGCAGACAACCGAGCCCGGGACCCCCAAAATCGAATTAAATTAGAGCCCTATGAAACCTACCAATCACCCGCCTCAGCCCTAACCTCAATACAGTGCCCATGAAACCACAAGTACCACCTCCCTAATGCTCACCCAAATGACGCCCTAACCCACCACTAGCCACCGATCACAACCGAAGCCTGGCCCGTCACCTAACGGCTACCCAGACAGTCCCCGGCCACTATTGGCCAAGATGGCCCAGTAGGAAGCGCTCTCCCTCACCCCCCTACCCAATTGCCCTGTCCCATTACAGCCGCACGATCTTCATGCATCAACTGCAATGACCCAAGAAACACCAGGCCCCAAAATCACCCTGGTCATGGACACGTTATATTTTGACTCTGCCGCAACCCTCAAAACCCAAGCCTAAACTACGCCGATCTGCGTCTCAACCATATGATTCCCCAACAACCCCTCCGAGAGCATATCCACGACATACCCAAACTGCACCATTGAAGCTCGACCTGGTATCCCAAAAGCGTTTTCGGATCTCCCGAGCGTTCTGGAGACACCCCCTCTCATACCTCTGCAGCTCCGGCTCCAGTTTCCCCGCGCCCACGATAGGAGTAGGGCCGGGAGACTCGCCACAGTGGACGAGATCTCAAGGGTAGTTATGACAATATACAACACACTGATGAAAACAATGGGGAAAAACAAAAAAAAAAAAAAAAAATTATTATTATTATTATTATTATTATTATTACCACCTGCCATTCCGCTGCAATAACCTGTACAACCTGCGTGAACCAACCCACACCACAACCAAATGAGCATTACCTATGCCACTCCTAAATTGCGTGGTCAATTTGCCCGCTGACTTAAACCAGAATCGCCGCTGCCAAATCTCCGCCCTGGCATGGCTACAACATCCGGGCAAGAAACCCGCCACCCAATAACTGCCCATGAGTCAATTGCAAAGTCCTCTCCTACACAAAAGAACTTACAACATAGGGCTAACCACGTCAACCCAAAGGACGCCCAAGCAGTACCTAGGCAGGCAGCAAACTAACCTCGGACACGGGTCCACAAATCGCAAGCGCTAGACCACCCTAAATACCGACGCCCCAGCAGCTGGATATAATACGGTTAGCTCCGCAAGAACTATGACAGTTTCCGTCAGAACACTCATAGCCCCAGACCCTAAAAGTAACTGGCTAAGAGCAACCCACGGAACCATGGAGGTAAATACTCCCAATGCCTAACTCACAACCCCCTGACAAGATCTCAGTCCAAACAGACACCCACCCCCCTCTCCGCATCCTTCCAGACCTCGCTAACATCTGATGATGAACAAATGATAGCGGCCATAACCAACGCGCCACAAAACTTTGCGACTACCATTGCCGAACAGGTGGACGTGGATTCCTCCGACTCTGACGATACAGATATTGCCCAATCTGCCCCCCTCTTCGGCAATAGATATAAAGGTAGCGGCAAAAATAAAGAACACTCATCAGCAACCGAGAATGATACGAGGAAACATGCGAGATCACCCACTGCCGCGAAAATCCAAGGCCCCCAAAAGGCACCCCCCCGCTTCCTTCCACTAAAAGCGATGAGGCCCCTCCCTGCAACCACCCAGAACCAAAAATCCCTCAATGATCTCACCCCCGACATCTTTAACACCGGAATAGGTGGCCAATCGGCCTTCATGGAAAACACCGACCCTACTGAATTCCCCCAACCCGAAGCCCAGCCACAGCTGGCAGCGGGTCCCCTATTGTCACTGACCAACCAACCTTTATGCCAGTAATCGCGGAAAAACCTGACGATGGAAAAGATGACCTCAACTGGCTGCCACTTGGACCCGATCTAACCAATTTCTACGCACACGGCCTCCGCCCAGGCCGCCTTCTTGAAGGTGCGAACCCTGACCGTGCCATAGCCTGGCTAAAAAAGGCAGGTGCCATCCTAGCCATGCCCCTTGATGCCGCCCACAGCGAAGAAAACACGAGCAACTTCCAAACAAACATGGAGGCCTTCCTAGAAAGGGCATTCCCTGACCAAGTCGGGGAAGTCAACATCATCCCCCCAGTCCCCATCGACCTCAGACGCGGTGGAACCCCCCAATATGCTAAACCGTGGGGCTTCCTAATTGAAGGCCTAAACCCCCAATACGCCGACCTCCTAGTTCGCGAACACCTGTGGATCTGCAAAACGTTTGGGTTCATCGCTATCAATACCACATTCAAACCATCAACCTTCATGATCTCTATTGTGGGAATGGGAAACAGACTAAAAGATGCGAATAACATCAAGGACGCTGTCAAACAAACGATGGCCAAACCGGCGAGTCCCCTCATGACATTCCTGAAAGGGGCAAGTATGACGGACGACCAAATAAATGATATAGTAGACAGTGTCAAAGTAATCCCAAGAGGATATGCTCCCAACGGGAAAGAAAACAACGAGAACCTAGAAGAAAAGAGGAGACCAACCTCGGACAAGTCGGTGACCATGTGGGAGCTGCATGTAGACCCACCCTACAAGACCCTCAAAGAGGCGCGCGAAACCCCTCATGACCAGTGGTCCCAACTCTTCAAATCAGCCTCGTTTGTAAGCGAAAAAACCCAGGCTGGACACGCCTTCAACAGACAAAGAGTCTGCAACACCTGCAAGGCCTCTGACCACTTCTTTCACTGCTGCCCAGTCCATTCCCACTCGGCCTGGAAACAACGCTACCCCAAACACGAGGAACCTGACACTGACGGCAACACGATCCCCCCCAGCTCCAGCGGAGGACCGTTCCCCTCTCTCCCCCGATACCCACCATACTCGAATCTCCAACGAGGAAGAGGACGCGGCCGCCCCCCACTCAATACGGCCCACGCTTCCCCTCTTACATCCCACCCAAATATAACTTCGACTGATGTTTCCCATAAAAAAGACCCAAGTCGGAACTATAGGTATACAGCAGTACGGCCTGAATTGTTAAATCATCTATTTTCATATCGTCGCAGCCGTCCCATCCTGCTCTGTAAATACCCACAAGCCACACCCCCATGAATACAATCCCCTCTCCCTAGTCTACTCACAACCGCGGGAATTTACTCACAAAACCCCCAAATGAACACCAAAACTGCTACCTGGCCCCGACCCCACTCCATCACCCCACCTACTGAGCCCACACTTACTGAGCCCACGGGCGACAGGAAAGCCTAGTAGTCCAACCCCTAAAATACCCAAGAACACCCCGAACCCCGGCTGGCAACCGGATCGTGGAACACCAAAATGCCTGCAAAAAGATCAACCCCCAAAGCCCAATCACACGGCGGATACTCAACCGGCTAACAGACCACAGCCCCCGGTGCCCGGAGGGCAGAGAGTTTACACCGTTTCATCGAAACCCAATGACGGTCACCAGGGATCGGAAAACGGACCCAAACTCCTCCGCCTGAGAGGAGGAAGAGACCCAACGGCCACGAATGGCAGTCTCCGCATTGACGCCCTCAACATCAAAGGGGCCAATAGCCCACAAACAAGACGGAAATGGAAACAGATCACTGACAGAATGAAAAAAGATAAGATTGCAGTGATGTGCGTTTCGGAGACTCACACGGACCAATCCCAGGAGAACCAACTAACAAGCCGCTACGGCAATGAATTCTTAATCTCCCACACCTATGACCCATCCCACTCCAGAGCCGCGGGGGTCGCAATCATCATTAATAAAAATATCATTAAGAAAACATCTGGAACGACCAACCTCATCCCTGGCCGGGCCCTCCTCACCACCATCGAATGGCCATCAAACGACAATATCACAATCCTCGCCATCTATGCCCCAAATGTTAGAGGTGCAGGAGCCGAAAATGCGGCTTTCTGGCTTAGACTGGGTGAGATCACTGAAAACCTCCAGATTGATATGATACTGGGCGACTTTAACATCGTCGAAGATGCAATCGACCGCACCCCCCAGCACGAAGATGCACATGCTGCGGTAACAGCCCTCAAAGAACTACGCTACCTCCACAACCTGGAAGATGGTTGGCGCCAAGCCAACCCCGCGCCCGCAAAAAACTATACCTATGGACATAAAACCGGTACGCACATGTCAAGAATTGACAGGATTTATGCCACAAGTGAAGTATTAGATAAAGCGCTCACCTGGAACATCCAAAATCCCGGTATCCCCACTGCTGACCACCAATTGATCTCAGTAACCTTAAACGACCCCCGAGCTCCCTATATCGGCAAAGGTAGATGGGCAATCCCCAACTACCTGATAAACGATCACGAATTCCTGAAAGGG